CTCCGCCCCGCCCGGGCCTCCCGCCTGGCCCAGGTGGTGGCACCCGCCCTTCGGCTGCGCCCCGCTTGGTCGGTGTTCCCAAGGGAGCAGGGCACCCGGTCCGAGCATCCTCCTGCAAAACCCAGTCTTAGCCCAACTCTGGTGCAGTCTGACATGTCGCATAGTCCATAACGTTGAGGTTACGCTACGATCAGGATCTTCCAAGAGCAGCACTTGCGTATGAAGAAGGACGACGTAAAACGTGGGGAAGAAATAACCGTGCTGCTGAAAAAGCAACAGAGCAGTTAGTCCCTGGGTGGACGCGGGGAGCAACTGAGGTGGTGCCGGGGCCCTGCCGCCCTCAGCGCCTACCAGCCGAACAGAGGGGTGCTGGGGTGTGGTGCAGCGTGAGGCTGTAATGGGTGACCCCTTGCTTGCAGGAAAACTACGGACAATCACAGGAAAAACACAAAAAATGGCTTTCAGGTTCATGTGCTGAAAATAATTGCAGGCAATGGATTCCTCCTCCTTTTTTCCTCCTGTTATTTTCTTAACTGCAAGAGATGCTGATATAAAATTAGTATCTGAGCGTATCTCCTGCTACAGGATAATATTTGAGTAATGGATGTTTTTGGAAAATAGTACTACTGAGTTGCTGTTGACTAATGAATATGGATAATGCTTGATACATATTGAAATTCTTCTGTTGCTTTTACAAGAGCTCTCCACATTTTTAGCAACAAAAGCATTTCAAGATTTTTTCTTCAAGGCATTATTTTAGAATTCTTAAGATCTTAAGATTTGTCTTTCTTGTGGCAATATGCCATGAGGAAGTAATAAAGTTTTTCTGTATAAACTACAAAAAATCTTACAGAAATTACTACTGTCTTCACAGGCATGCAAATAATTTCTCTTCTTATTCTGGACAAGTGGGTTGATACAGATTTGCTTGTCCATAGAATCACAGTTACTGTCCCAATCACGGTACATCCGGGAATGCAACTCAAAGAAAGCAAAACCAATACATAAACCCTAAATTAAATCGGAGATTATGATCATGTTATCTTCTCTGCATCCCCTTAGCACGGGACAAATAGATCCAGATGCTGCATGCCAAATAGCCAGCATGTAAACCATGATTAATATATGATTAAAATCATCCTTTGAGACCAAAAGCTTGAATATATATGGTAATTCTAGCTGCAATTTTTCTAGGTAGTTTAGAACCATACTAAAAATACATTTCAGATTTGCCTTTGATCTATAGGGTTTATGCTTATAAAATTACAGGCCATGCCAGAAGGAACTAGTTTGCCACCATGTTGCAGAGTCCTAAACTTTGCAAATTATCCATTAAATCTTTGACATAAAACTCAAATGGGCCTGTAGCTAGCAAGCATTTGCTGTTTAACTAACCACTAGGATAGTGTATCAGAAGTGCTCTTCCTTGCATGATATTCCTGTACTCGGACTGCAAACCCAAAACCAGAGGCCTAGGATAATTTAATCTCTCAGCAGGCAAATCCTTTGTAACAAAAGCTTAAACATAATTTTTATCTTGTGTTCTCAATTTAGTGAAGGGTATCATA